CAGACATTCCCAACGCCTGTTTCATCAGCTCTCGAACAATCAGAACAAATCTCAACAAAAGAGGTTACCCAATCGACAACCAATAAAACTGAAGAAAAACCGCAAATACCCATCAAGCCAGGTGTACATAAATGATTGTTGATTACATACATAATAATTAATGTTGATTTCAGATCCAGCAGTTAATAAGTTTCCTTCATTTATTCTCCTACTTATTCACACTCGTTGTCATCATATAAACCTTACTGTCATAAGCAAATATGAACAATCTTTGTTCTCGCCAATATTAGACCTCTATTGGACCGTTGATAGAACAGAAAATTTCAATATTATTATTCATTGGTGAATGTGATTACATTAAAAAAAAGAAAATTTTAATATTATTTATTGGTGAAACAGTTCGAGCTGTTTTGATTGAAATGTGTTTACTCAAATGCATTCAAAATTTCAGTCTGGTTTCTGCTCTACACAGCAAGTTCGAGTATCTTTGTACTCTATTCGATGATAGCACTTTTTATGGTCTACAGGACTGAAGCGAGACTTTTCAAAGAAAAGAATTTGGTTCAACAACATTTCAAGAACAATGAACGTCAATGATTGTATTAACCGAGAACTCAACATTTATATTTCACTTTCAGCCTTTCAACATTTCCATGAACGTGTTATTGCTAACATGTGCACAGCACTATCTTCATGCTCTCAGGATTCATTGTTAACAAATTGTTAATTAGCAAGCAATATCACTCTGAAAAAANAAAAAAGCGTTACATTCATGTTCTCTTGTTGGTGTTTGGCTAAAGAAAGTAGCATTTATTTATTCACGTAAAAATTCACACAATATAGTCCTCACATCATCGTTTGAAATAAGAGCAGTTGAAATTCCAATTCAGATCATTTGAGATGAGAAAAAACTTTTGTGTACTGAACAACTTTTGAAAATTTTCGCATTTGCCTCTGATCAATAACGTGTGAAAACGCTGTTCGTTGGCCAATCAAAAGGCAAAATTCGCAAGAAGTACACATGTTGTTGTTGAAATTTATAGAGCATTTTAATTCGGAATGCCACGTTTTGCTCATCAGCATTCGCTGCTTTCTCATCAACTTCTCAATCGATGTATTGAGTTGGTGCATAAGTTCGTGCGCTTTATCTAAGTTTTTTAAAACTTCGTTTTCAAACCACAAAGGCTAACCACTCAATCGACAATGTATTCTTCTTCAGTTTTCATGACTTCCTGTCATCGTTTCAACAGGTTGTCGATTCCACGACGATAGAATTCCGCTGGCTTCGAGGCGAAGAAGTCGTCTAGCCACGTTTTGAGGGCATCCTC